ATGGACATTGACTCACGATTCTTCTGTATCATTCTCAATTGGATGGTTACTCGGTTCCATTGTGCTATCTGCTTTGGCTTTGACTACTTGGACTTAGTGTGATTTTGCATTCTGGATTTTTGTGCTTCGTCCATATTCATGTTCCTTGCAATTTGGTATCAGAGCTGGTTTGATCGTCACTTACCTTTGGCACGCTGGCGTTATACAGACTTGGTGCGTTGTGCTTCTTCGCAGTTGGTACTTGTGACGTCCGGCCATATATAGGCGCACGCCCTGGGTAGAGAGGGTTGCACCGGAAGGCTAAGACGGCAGTGTATGCCGTGGTGACATGCGGAATGTTTGATTGATGATGAGAGCATGCTGATGTGGCATTGGACTAAGGTGGCACTGCATTGCGTTGTGGGTGGTACCGAGGTCATGACCGGTCATCAAATGCAACTTCAGCTCAATTGGTGAGAAATCTGTGGTTGGGGGCAGCTATCTCCAGGTATGTTGATTCCTTACCTTATCTACCTTCTCAATCTCTTCTTACCGTGAGGAAGTGAGTCCAACTTGAGAGTCCTCTCCTTGGTGAGGTGTCGTGAGCGCGCTACCTTGAGAGACGACAATCTTCCCGGAAGCATCTGGAAGGAGAAAGGGCGGTGCCTTTGAAGGGCCCTGGTCGAAGCACTGGGTCACGGTCACCATGCCAACCCACAGGGAGTAGTGCACGCATGCGATGGTTGTTGTCCTTGTTGGCACTTGCTGCGCTGAATAGAAGTCCCGCCGGGTGTGCCAGCCTTTTATGAGATGCTTCCAGACCGTCTATAAACATTTTTGGTTGGGAGTTCATTGTGAATCTAGCTGTGATCGTCGTCCTGACTGCGACGTTAAATAATTCCTGAAGAGATGGGGGCGCTCTATAAATTCCTCTTGATCAGCCAGATCACATGGACAGTAAGGCTCGTTCCGTACGAGGGTAAATAAGAGTGGACTGGCTGGCTTGCTCGGTGACGACTTGGGCACAGGGGTGGGCCGAAATACACACGAAAACACTGCTTTGCTCAATGATGCTGTCCGGATGGTTGGATTGAGGGGAATTCCAATGGGTGCTCAACTGTATACACAACCATACCCATCAATCATACATATGCTACATTGTCTTTTTGTATCTTTGATTAGTTGGTGGACAGAATGGTAACACCTCACAGACAGATTAGGTAGGACTGTTGTATGCTACCATAGCCAGTTCTGTCTAATGCTGCTGTAAGTGAACCTATCGAGATACATCTGTACAATGTATACAATCTGTGTGAATGTTGTAGACATGCTACTTGATTCGGTACAGTAGGGGACTCGTTGGACACAACTATATTTAGAAAATTAGGTGTCGGTCAGACACATGCTGCGGTAGGATTCCACTAGGGGATTCTAGTGCAGATACTATTTGCCTAACTAATGAGTGGGTCAGACCCTGTTGATGAAAGAGCAGGCGATAGGAGACTAACACGTGCATCGGCACTAAGGGTACCACACATGTTCCAGGCCTTAGAACCGGGAGAAGAAAGACGACTACGAAGAGCCCGTGCTCTAGCAACAGGAATACAGGAAGCACACATAGCAGCAAGAGAGCAGGCAACAACAGCCAGAGCAGCTGCATGGCTAACGGCGCAAGCTCTGCTGCGTCATCGTCTGCGTCCTCGTCAGGGACTAATGGGACTCGTTTGGGAATGCCAATAAGTTCCACAAGTTCCACGGGCACTTCCGGTTCAACAGGTTCTAGACAGTCTTATAGTCAAATGGCGGGCTTGCAGTTCAGCCCGTTGACCCCACGTGAGAGGGAGCTCAGAGAAATCCAACAGCTTCACCAGAAGTTAGAGGAGGATCTGAAGAAAGCAACCGATAGAGAAAAAGAGATAAAGAATAGAGCAGCCAGGCTTGAAACGTTAGAGGATGACAAGGCTGAGTTAGAGGGATTGGATGAGTCGGCATTGACTGACCCGCTGAAAACGCTGAAGAAGAATATGTTGTTGCTGCATGCGCATGTGAACAACAGATTAGACTTCATGCAAAGCACTCTAGACCAGATCCTAGACATATTGACAAGGCCAGGATTCAGGCCACCAGCACAATCGCCGTTGCCGTTATCGGCGATGTCAGGCCCCTTTCCAGTTCAAGCTGGTACACCACCAAGTGGTACGTCTGCAGCAGTCGCACAGACTGTTGCATCTTCTTCTTCGGGTCCAGCGGTGGTAGCTACACCACCGCAACAACCTGTTCAACAATTTGGACAACCGCAGGGTCAATGGTATCCCAAGACCCCAATGAAACCGCCTCTTGCCTTCTCAGGCGAGAGAAAGGACGAAGAACTGAACACCTGGTTGAGGACAGTCCGGGTTTGGGTAAAGGCCAAGAGCACCTTGCTAGAGGACGAAGTGGTAACTGCTGCATCTTACCTCGAGGGTAAGGCAGCCAAGTGGCTAGATGGAGTAGTTGTAAAGGCCGGGTACGGGCGACGCATGGCGGACTGGGCTAAGTCTCTGACGTTAGACCAGTTCATGGAAATGGTAGAAGCTCGATGGCATAATCCACAGGAGGCGCAAAGGGCCACTGATGCCATTAACAAACTAGACCAACGCAAGTTCAAGTCAGTTGGAGAGCTTACGACTACCGTTGAGAGCCTGATCCTCATTCCAGGCATCAACTACAGTGACCAGTTCCTGTTGACTACTTTTGTCAGATGTCTTCTCGAGAACATCAGGAACTTGCTGGCCAGCGAGGCACACACAGATTACCATTCGTTTGAGACATTGTCTAGGAAGGCTTTAGATTTGGAGGCTACTCTAGGCAATGCTCAACCCACCTCACAGAATGACACGAAGAAGAAGAAGAGTCCTCGGGAGTGGAAGAAGAAGGGGGCGAAGTTGATGATGGTTGAGTCCGATGGGACTCAAACGGAGATCGGCGAGCTCTCTGACCTGATGGACTATTCAGAGTTTGACGGCGAGGAGGTAGCTGAGGGTAGCACCCTCGCCGCGGTAGTCAAGACTAAGGCAGGTGGCCGAGGGAAAGCCCAACCTAGGAGTCAAGGGAAGGCCGCCTCCAATCAGACCAAACAGGTTGAGTGGGTTAAGGCAGGTCTTGATCAAGACGTGTGGCGTGACCGCCGAACGCGTGGCGCTTGTATCAACTGCGGGGAATACGGACACTCGCAGTACAAGTGCCAGAACGTGAAGGTTACGCAAAAGGTAGCTCCAAAGATAGGGGCATCCTATTCCCAGGCTTCTATCTCGGGAAACGCGTGAGGCCAGTGAAAGTTTTAGCAGCTTCTACTCAAGATGAAGTGGGCTTGATACCCTTCCAACTTCATGACAAGGCCAAAGCTAATGACTCCTTAGTCACCCTGCAGACACATCTAGACCAAACTATGCTCTGTATGTTAGATGTGTCTGAAGCCTTAGAAGACTTAAAAGGTGAGTGGTCAAACAAGGACCCTCGCGAGTCTTGGGTGGCGCTGAAGAAAGGTCCTAGAGGGGAACATTTTGTGGTGGAAGTGGATGTAGGAGGCCGCAAATGTGGTGCCTTCATAGACATCGGATCCACACGAAATTACATAAGTCGCGATTGTTTGGAAAGGCTGCACCTACAGGACCGGGTACGGCTCCTTAGTAGACCAGTAGCATTTACTTTGGCCAACAAAGAGCGCATAATTGTAACAGACTATATCAAGGACGTAGTCTGTACCTTCTCCTATGGAGGAGGCGAACTTAACCATAAGATCTCGTTCTTGGTTAGCGACACTTACCATTCGACATGTTATTAGGCATGTACTACCTCGAAGTTGCTAAGCCCCAGTTTGATTGGGATAAGAAGGTGCTCAAGCATAAGTTGCCCGATGGCCGAACTGTCAGATTGACTAATGCTAAGCCCCAGTTTGATTGGGATAAGAAGGTGCTCAAGCATAAGTTGCCCGATGGCCGAACTGTCAGATTGACTAAGTTCAAGGCCAGTAGCATTATAGATACCTATGGCTGCTTGTGCGCATCAGCGTTCTACAATTATTACGAGCAAAACGAAGAGGAGGGTATGTACCTTGTGTATGTCTCTGAGAAAGGGGAGGCCGTTAAAACACCCCTAGAGATAGAACGCGTAGTTGCTAAGTTCCCTGATCTGTTCGAGGAGCCCACAGGAGTTGTTGAAAGGGAAATCGTCCACGCTATAGAAATCATTCCAGGGAGTAAGACCCCAAAGGGAAGGATCTATAGGATGGCCCCCGCCGAGTTAGATGAACTTCGGCGACAGCTTAAGGAGCTGACAGAGAAGGGATGGATCCGGCCTAGTACTTCTCCTTACGGATCACCCGTTTTATTCGTACCGAAGAAGGGGGGTACTTTGAGGATGTGCATTGATTATAGAGGCCTCAATGCCATCACAGTGAAAAACGCATAGACGACCTATTGGATAGGGTGCAGGGATGCAAGTACTATAGCAAGATAGACTTGAAATCCGGCTATCATCAAATCGCTATAAGGCCAGAGGACCAACACAAGACAACTTTTCAGACTCGTTATGGTCTGTACGAGTTTGTAGTGATGCCTTTTGGTCTTTGTAATGCGTCGGGAACATTCCAGCACGSTATGAATCGGATCTTCCATGACCATTTAGATAAGTTTGCCATTGTCTACTTAGACGACATTCTGATCTTTAGTAAGTCTGCCGAGGAGCACGCACAAGATGTTGAGAAGGTACTCTCACTCCTGTGACAACACAAGTATAAGGTCAACTTAGAGAAGTGCGAGTTTGGCCGCACTAAGATACTATACTTGGGACATGAAGTATTCGCGGAAGGGATACGGCCGGAAGATGCGAAGGTGGCTAGTATTCGAGACTGGCCACGACCTCAGACAGACACTGAGGTCAGATCATTCTTAGGAATGTGCGGCTACTATAGAAACTTCGTAAAGAACTATTCTACAATCGCCTCTCCTTTGACTGATCTAACTCGACTTGACACACCGTGGGACTGGAGTGATGAGTGCGAGGGTGCTTTCAAGAGATTGAAGCATGCACTCATGAATCATGAGGTCCTCATGGTTCCCGATCCTCAGAAGCCATTCATAGTGACCACTGACGCAAGCCAATACGGCATTGGCGCAGTGCTCGCTTAGCAGGATGGGAAAAAGTTGAGACCGATTGAGTACATGAGTAAGAAGATGCCATCAAAGAAGTGCCACCTACGAAAGGGAACTCTATGCTCTGTATAAAGCACTTGTCCATTGGAGACACTTCCTATTGGGGAGGTTCTTCTTCTTGAGGACTGATCATCAGACCCTCAAATGGATCAAGACTCAACCGCCTCTTTCTGACGCACTCAAGCGATGGATTGAGGTCATAGACCAATATGACTTCAAGCTTGAGTACTCAAAGGGAGAGTACAACAAGGTTGCGGATGCGCTATCCCGTAGAGCAGACTACCTAGGTGCGCTAGTTTCTGACTTTGGCGTATCTGACGAAGTAACTCAATCATTGGTGGGAGCCTATCAGGAAGACCCTGGCACGATGGACATCATGCGCAAGCTTCAGGCAAAAGACAAGGCCACGGAAAGTGAGTTTGTGATGGTGGACGGGCTACTCTATCTTGATAAGGTAGGAATAAAAAGGTTAGTAGTTCCATCTAGTGAACGTTTGCATAGTTTATTTTTAGGCGAATGTCATGACTCAACCGGGCACTTTGGCTACAAGAAGACGAGTGCGAACGTAGTACAACGATTTTGGTGGCCTGGTATGTTTGATGACGCAAAGAAGTACGTAGAGACCTGTCAGGTCTGTCATCGGGACAAGCCGCGAACTCAAGCACCACTTGGGTTGTTGAAACCTTTGCCTATCCCTGCTGGCCCAGGACAGAGTGTCTCCATGGATTTCATGGACACCCTGGTGACTAGTAAGAGTGGCAAGAGGCACATCTTCGTCATCATCGAACGATTCACCAAGCACGCTAGACTAGTGGCTATGCCAGAGACTGCAAGAACTGACTACGTCATCAAGTTGTTCAAAGACAACTGGGTGTGTGACTTTGGTTTACCAAAGTCAATCGTTAGTGACCGAGATGTCCGCTTCACAAGTGAGTTGTGGAAGAAGACTGCAGAACAGATGGGAAAACAACTTCAAATGACTTCAGGGAATCATCCCGAAGCCAACGGACAAGCCGAACAAATGAACAGAGTTGTACAACACTTGCTGAGGCATTACATCAAGCCCAACCAAGACGATTGGGATGAGCAGTTGCCTCTTATCGCCAGCCTGTACAACAATGCTATCCATAGCAGTACCGGCGTTAGTCCTAATCAGCTGCACTTGGGATGGAAGCCTAGATCAGCACTAGACTTCCTTCTACCTGAAAACCGACCCGCTGCAACTCAAGGCACACTAGAGTATGGTGTGCAGTATGAGAAGTTGCTGCAAGAGGCTGTCGAGCATATGCTCAGCAAGCAATGATTGCTTCTGAGAATCAACATCGTAGGCAGTCCACATTTGAGGTAGGGGAACGAGTCTGGGTCAAGGCTAGTGAGTTAGGACAGGAGTTCGGAATCTCTCGCAAACTAATGCCTCGGTACTTTGGTCCCTGGGAAGTCCTGGATATAGTGGGAGATGAGATGGATGGTCCCACCTATGTCATTCGTGTCCCTGGACACCTACGCACTCACCCAGTCTTTCATGCCTCAAAGCTTGCACCTTTCGCTGAGACAGATCTTTTCCCTTCCAGGAGATTGATGCTGCCCCCAACCATGGATGGACAAGTGGACATCGATGACATTGTGGATCACAGGGATATGCCTGTTCCGAAGCCGCTGGGTCGAGGAAGACCTCCTAAACCCAAGAGAGAGTACCGCGTCAGATCAGGCATCATACGGATCCGAAAGAAGATCGGTGGTTTACTAGGGAGGAACTGATTGAGACAGCTCCTCAGGTGGTGGCAGAATATGAGAGGCTACTGAAAGGGAAGGCACCTGCGAAGTAAGCATCTCAGCGGACTTTCGAAGCTAAGGGGGATGGAATGTGAGGATTGAGCCCTCAAGTAGGGGCCTTGCCATGATGTACATGTTCTGGGCTAAGGCCCCGGCAAGCCTCGTGCCCACCCTAAGTGAAGGCGGGCCAGCAAATCAACAAGAGCCCTCTGTGCCAACATTTCACGAAGTGGGGTCCATACAGTTGCAGCACGCCAGTTGGTTGGAGTGCACCGAGTCTCGGATTTCAGCAAATGCTGAAAACCCAGGGCCTCTGAGTTAGTTAGGCCCTGGGTACGTGAACGTGAGGCCGACAATGCATGCTGGGTATAGAGGCCGAAAATGCCAAAGGGAAATCGACCCACTATCTGAATCTGACCGCAGGCCTTGACAAAAGAGGTGCAACTGCATCCCCCGGGCCTCAACTGTATCGGGCCTGGGTTCAGCGACTGGGGCCCAAACGCAGGCTGAAGGGAGGCCGCCCACACGCAACAGTGGCATATAGGCAAGCAGGACGAGTGGGCAGGGATCTTGGCCAATGCAGGCATTGCGGGCACGCTGCGCGAATGCATGTGTGCTGCGCTAAGGTGAAGCAGGCTAGCGCTAGGCGGTAGGGCGCTGCCTGCATGCAAGGCACTGGCGGCCATAGCCGGGCTGCATGAGGGTGCAGGAGAGGTGAAGGGCGAAGGTGGTCTTCAGATGTGAAGGGCGCTCTGTGGGTACAAGGGAGACTGTGGGTGAAGAGGACACATACCTGGTGGAGGTGGAGGTCGGCATTGGTGTTGACATCATCACTCGCTGGTAGTCAA